TAAGCTTATGTTTGGCTTTGCAATGCCGTAAACCAGTGGTTGCCAATCTAGGCTGCCCATTAGGGGTTTGCTAACCTGGGCGCTAAAAACATCAGATGACCCCCAGGGAGTTTCCATTGGTCTGGGCTGCAGCCTGCTCATCCGGAATTTTCAAAGTTTTCCTGGTGATTCCATTGTGCCAGTCAACATTGTAAACCACTCCAAAACCAGTGGCTTGCAAACCTTAACATGATATGAATCATTTGGGGAATGCTGTTAAGATCAGATGCTGGCTCACTAGGTTGGGAGTGGGTCCTGAGAGTCTGCATTTTTAACAAGAAGCTTGAGTCCTAAGCCTCAATCTTATCCTTCCTAACTCTTGTGACCTTACCTTGTTATTTAAAGGAGGCCGCCTCTCGGAGTCCTCTCCCCCCACCCCCACCCCCGAATCCTCTTTCATGTGCTCTTCCAAATCTTCACCTTTTTTCTTTTCTGCCAGGTCATGGCCCCTGACCAAAGCTGGCTCACCCTTGTGCTTTGGGTTGCAACCTCTTAACCTTCATACTGACCAAATCCTACCAATCAGCCTCCCCCCTTTCTTCCCTCTGTGTAAATGTTGCTCCAGTTTCCTCTATGTAAATAGGACATATTTCTATCTTCATCCAAACTCTGCAGTAGAACCCAATTTGCTTTTATTTTCCTCTACGGCCATCCCCCTGTGATTTGGCTTCCTCCCTACTCTGAGAGCTACTGCCATACACACAGCCTTAGCTAGCTCTGTTTCACATCTCTTGACATCCTCTCTGTAGCCTCTGGCAGTCGGGTCAACCTTTTGGAACTGGTACTTGTTGGTGCCAGGACCCACACTCACCCAGTTGTCTCCCATCCCTGTCCTGTTTACCTTTCTTCTCTCCCCAAAGGCATGCTCTTCCTGACACTCCATCCCTTTCTTCTTGATGCAACTTCCTCTAGGTAATTTCATTTTTACCAGCAACCTCCATTATCACTCTGCAGTTGCCTGGTATTCCATCTTCAATTCAGACTTTTAGACATGCTCTGGTCAGCCTTTCCAAATTCCTACTGGACGTTGACACTCACCCATATGCCCTGCTGCCATTGTTTTGTGATTTTTTGTTTGCCACTGTTTAAATTTTTTTATTACTAAAACAATTTGCAATTTTATTTCCAGACTTTATTTCCTACACCTTGCCTACTTTTAAAATCCTTAACTATTATAATTCACATTAATAATGCCATGTATTTATGTTTAAATGTAATATACTAGCTGCATTCAATTCTTTTTACTGTAGTAAAATCCACAAAATTTGCCATTTTAACCATTTTTAAGTGTATATTTCAGTTGACTAAGCTCATTCACATTGGGCAACCATCACCACCATCCATCTCCAAAACTGATTTATCTCATATGAAACTCTTCCCGTTAAACACTAACTCCCACTCCCCCCAGCCCTGGTAATCACTTTTCTACTTTCTGTCTCAATGATTATGACTACTCTGGGTACCTCACGTAAGTGGAATCGTACACTACTTGTCTTTTTGTGACTGGCTTATTTGACTGAGCAGAATGTCCATTTTGTAGTATGAATCAATTTCCTTCCTTAAGGCTGAATAATAATATTTCACTGGATGGATAGACCACATTTTGTTGATCTGTTTATCCATTGATGAAAATTTGGGTTGTTTCCCCCTTTTGGCTATTGTGAATTATGTTAAAATGAGCATGGGTGTACAAATACCTGTTCAAGACCATGCTATCTGAGTATATACCAGGAAGTGGAATTGCTGGATCATATAGTAATTCTGTTTTTAATTTTGAGGAACCTCCATACAACTGGACCATTCCACAGCCACTGGACCATTTTTCTTTTTAAATTATTTTTTATTATGAAATACACATTTTTTAGAATTAGTTTCAGCTGTACAACACAGTGCAATAGTTATACTTTTTACCCCTGGACCATTTTTCATTCCCATCAGCAATGCACAAGAGTTTTAGTTTCTCCACATTTTCACCAGCACATGTTTTCTGGGGGTTTTTTTGATAACCACCCTAGTTGGTGAGGTGATACCACTCTACCACTCTTTCTGTAAACACTGCTGTCCCCTCTTGTGGCAGCCACTTCAAATTCATGTCAACAGCCAAACATTTCTTCCCTCCCCTCTCCTTACCTACCCAATCTTTCTGATGTTCTTAGTTGGGGTGATAACATCTTACACCTGCTGATCTCCTTGAATCCAGTATCTGTCCCTGGCATTTAATCAATTGCCAGTCCCTACTGATGCTTCAAGAAGTCCCACCTCTTCCTTCCTGGGCAGGCTCTCATTTTTATGTCTTACCGGGATTATTGTAACCCTGGCCTGTCTAAACCTTGCCAGCATAAACCTGAACTATGCCCTCTGTGTCCCTACTCACATCCTGGCTCAGCTTCCAATTGCCACCAGGGAAGGGAAGAAAAAGTTCTCAGTGAACACTTTCTATGTGCCGGGCACTAAGTGATCTACGAGGTCTGACAATTCAGTTAGCAAACCCATCCTAGAAAAAGTGCTACATACCTCTTTGCTGAATATCACTATGGTCACCTTCGAAGTACTTCCCTCGGGAAGCTATGCACTGACACCTGCGCCTAGTCCACCCTTCAAAGCAATTTTGGAACTCTTTCTGGAATGGCCATCAGAGCTGTCAGCACACTACCCTTGATGTCCTGAATGTCATCAAAATGTCTTCCTTTCAATGTTTCCTTTATCTTTGGGTAAAGAAAGGGGCCAGATCAGGTGAGCAGGCCATGAATTGTTAGTGAAAAATTCAGGTCGTTTGGTTCTAACTTTTTCATGCAGCCTTTTCAGCACTTCCAAATAGTAAACTTGGTTAACTGTCTAGTTGGTACAAATTTATAATAATTCCTCTGATATCAAAAAAGGTTAGCAACATCGTTTTGACTCTTGATTTGGACTGATGGAACTTTTTTGGTCGTGGAGAATTGGCTGACTTCCATTGTGCACTTTGACACTTTGTTTCAGGGTTTTATTGGTACACACATGTTTCATCACCAGTGATAACACGGCCCAAAACATCGTCCTGCCTCTCTAAAAGGCCTTGGCAAACTTCAACTCTCTTTTGCTTTTGTTCATAGGTGAGCCCCTTCGGGACCATTTTTGCACACATCTTTCTCATGCCAAAATTTTCAGTTAAGATTTTCCTAACTGTTTCTCTATCAATGTTTACTTGGTCAGCTATGCTTCTCACAGCCGATGATTTTGACTCACAATTCAAAGAAGTTTTGCAATGTTTTTGTCAATTCTGCTTGTTACTGGCCACCCTGACCTCTCTTCATCAGTGACGCGTTCTCTCCCCTCAAAAAAACGTTTAATCCATTTGCATACTGCCATTTTCTTCATAGCATTATCCCCATAAACTTGGACTAACATGTCCCTGATTTCACTTCCACTCTTGCCAAGTTTAACAAGAAATATAATGTCTGTTTGTTGCTCTAATTCAAGCTCAGACATTCTCGCAACAGCACACAAAAACACACAACAATAATGAACGCCACTCAGCAAGACACCGCCACACGTCGACACAAACACAGCTGTGAGTCACTGATATACCAAGGCTGTGAAACTTGACTGAGCTGTTTGGAGAGTGCTGCCATTGTAAGCACATGGTGGCAATTTCGCAAACATAATTGTCAGACCTCATGTGTCTAAGTACAAGTCGTTTCATAGATGCAGAAGCAGGCACAGAGAAGATAAGTAACTGATTTGAGGTCACACAGTAGGTGGTAAACTAGAATTCAAACCAACTCAAAAGCAGTCGGGCCGGCCAAGTGGCGCGATGGTTAAGAACTGGCTTGGGATGCCAGAGGGCCCCGGTTCGGATCCCACATATGAGGGCCAGTGACACTGCCCTCCACAGCTAAGATGCTGAACAACAGCTCAACCTGGAGCTGGGCTGCTGTAAGTCGCCGGCGACTGCGTAGGCTGCAGCCCCTGTGGCAGTGGGTTGCCATGGGCTATACCGTATGTAGCCAGCAGCCAGCGTGAGCAGCCAGCGTGAGCGGCCGTCCAGAAGCCGGCGACTGATCTGCCTCGCCCGGGAAGAGCGCAATGATGGTGACAACTTGGGCGAGTGAAGCAACATCCTTCACAACTAGACTGAAGAACAAAACGACAGCAACTTGTCTGTTCCCCTTCCTCCAATTCCCCAGCACTGTTCCCATCCCCCCAATTCCCCAATAAAAATCTTTAAAAAAAAAAGCAGTCTTACTCCAAAACCTACTCTTAGCCACTCTGCACTATCTTGCCTCATACAACCCTGTGAAGTGGATCTCAATCCTCTTGATGTAGAAAAGCACCCACTTAAAAAACGCCTAAAGTGAGATAGGAGCTGGAATTTGAACCCGAGTCTCTGACACCAAAGTCTCCCCCAAATCCTGGGCCAGGCAACAAGGTCCTGTACTATCAAGACTCAACTTGGCTGGCCAGCTTTATTCTCCCCTACTGCCTTGCCCCTTGCCCCAAATTAGACAGTTGGGCCCTGAGAAGAAGCTGGGTTTCAATTTTACCTCTCCACCTTTGGTCTTCAAGTCCCAAATGATCGCTCCTTCCTCCCTGAAACCTCTTAAGTTCTGAGCTCCAACCTGGAGAACTGGAATACAGTCCTGCGCTCAGCCCAGATGTAACATGGTGACTGCAGGGAATGTGCCTACCTACTGCCCTCCCATCTTGGAGCCCAGGCCTGAAAATCCATGCCAAGTGGACAAAACCGTATCCCTGAAGAGAGAGCTCTGTGTTGAGAGCTGAAAATACAGAATCTGCACCAGTCAGCCACCTGCAGTTAGAAAAGTGCATGAGTCTGAGAAGCAGAACTTAGCTCCTGGCACCTAATGTCTGGCTGAAGTGTTTGCATGGCATTGATTTTTTGTTGTTTGTCCTCCCTGCTCTCCATGTCAGAGTGGGTGGTGAGCCTCCCATCTCCCCCTCCCCCCACTGCCTTGAGCAAGTCTTTTCCCAACCTAAATTTTTGTCCCAGTCACACCAGCAACCTAGTCAACAACCACCTGCTGCCACCTGGGGAGGCCTGGGCCTCTGGAGTTTCATTCAAACCCAACTTGTTTGAAGGTGAAAAGGGCTGCTGTGGGCACCAAGAGGCGGGGGGGGGGGGCCACTGACAAAACAAGGACTTCCTGCCAGGTAAACCAAACCTTCCTGCAGGTCAGCAGGAATCTGGCCTTATCTTGGCATCCAGAAAAGTCACAAGGTTCTTACTGGAAGCAGGTAAGTGCTTGTCTTTTTGTCTCTGTCAAGCTTAGAATTGGTAGGAAAAGACCCTATTCTAGCAAATGAACAGCTTGGGAAGAGGTCAGAGCAGCAGTGGGAACAGCCTCGTCTCTCCTTTGCTGTACCAAGTAGGAAGGGGGGCAAGAGGAAGCGGCCTGTCCAATTCCGGGTGTCTTGGGCAACTTCCAAGTTGGAAGCAGGTTGTTTCCTTGGCACTGCTGGTGTAGGGGGCTCATCTGTGGGATGCTCTGCTTGCCCTACTAGTTAGCGGAGAGGGACAGGCAATGGTCCTCATCCTTGAGCGCCTCCTCACAACATGAAGAAATAATGGCAGCTGAAGTGTAGAACTGTCTCATGAGAAGACTGACTGCCAAGCTGAAGGCAGTGTCTGCCATCTGCCTTTAGCATCTGCATTGACTGCCTCTGCACCAGGCTCCAGGATACATACAGCCCTGAGCCTCTTTCCTCTCGAGTAACTTATCTTTTTGATGAGGATGTGGGCCCGTAGACAGAGAGTTGTAATACAAATGTGGTAAGTGCTAAAATCACAGGACAGGGCTCCTAGCCAAGATTTGAGGGCCTTGGGAAGGACTTATGGGAGGAAGCTGAAGGCCAAAGAACAATTTGTAATTCATCAGGTAGAAATGTGCAGAGTGTCCTAGTCAAGGGGACAGTATGTGCAAGGCTCAGACGCAAGAGACCGCTGTGTTCCTGGTGGAAGTTCAGAGTGGCCCTCAGGGAAAGTGGGGATGGGGGTGGGGGTGGGGGTGATTTGGGAGACGCAGTCAGTGGGAAAGGAGGGGCCAGGTCAGGGTGAGGGGTCGAGGACTGACCTGAGAGCGAGGGAAAGTTGCCAAGCACATTAGGCAGGGACATGCTTAAATGGCAGGCTGGAAATGGCCCAGATGTGCCCTTTTGCTCACTTGGCCTTGTCATAGAGAACAGATCAGAGAGGAGCCCACTGAAGGCAGGAGCAGTTAGGAGGCTGGAGAAAGACCCAGGCAGTGGGTGGTGCCCATGTGACCCAGCAGTGGCTAGTAGCCAGAAGAGACTTAGGACAGTGGTTTTCTACCCATGATGAAGGACCCGTTGTTCCTCCAGCCCACTATGGATCAATAGTTTTGTAAAATACAATTAAAATGGATTACTAAAAAAAGATTTTTTTTTATTTAAAGTCCACATTTTTATTAATAGATTCTAAAACTTGATGTTACTCAAGTTGCCATAAAATTTTCTAAACTTGTCATAGATGGGCACTGAACCATATGCTTTTGAGCAGCACTGTCTTCAGGAGGAAGAGTTGACAACATGACAATGACTAGTGGAGGGCAGAGGAGGGAAAAGATGGGCTGAGGACGGCCACGTGTTTGGCCTGGATAGTTGGCTGGGGGCCAGGAGGAGGTGCAGCAGGTTTGGGGGCCAATGCGAGTAGCAGGAAGTGCTAGGCATATTGTGTGAGGCTGGGCCGCTAGGGGAGTGACCGGTGGCCGTTAGGATGGACATGTGGGGCTCAGGGCAGAGAGGCTGAGCCGGACAGACCTGGGCACCCTGACCAAGCAGACAAACCACAGCCCAAAAGGCACCTTCCTCCAGATGGGTGTACAGAGTGAAGGGGGTCAAGAACCTTGGGCAGGATTCTGTGGGCACCAGTGACCAAGGGACACCGGCCACAAGTGGCTGTGGGGCCACTTGGGAGAACACAGGGAGCCCCAAAGTCAAGGGAGCAGACTGTTTCAGTGTGGGAGGAATGAGAGAGTAATCTGAGAGAAGCCCTAGCCTGCTCGGGCCCCTGTAGCTCACCGCCTAGAATCATTTCTCTAAATAGATTGGTCTCTGAACAGCCTCGCTCAAAATATGAGCCTGAGAAAACTGTATTCACAGTTTTCTGTGCTTTCCGAATTTTCTAATTTTTTTCTGTTACTCTAAGTACTCTAATAAATAGAACACTCATTCTTAATGACAAAGAACTGACCATTGCCTGAGCATGTTAACTACCGTCTCCTAGGGAAACAGACAGTTTGGGTGTTGGGGTGGGAGCCCCTGTGGCCAGGGAGCCTAAGCAGCCCCTGGAATGCTGCTGTCAGTATGAGGACTTGAGGGTGACAAGACTCGGCCCTGCCATGCACACGTCCTCCCAGCCCCACCAGGCCCTGTCTGCTATGACTGTGCCCAGGACTGTTCTCAGCCAGCTCCTTGTTTTCAAAATAGTCTGCAGTGAGGAGGGGGAGGGCAAGCAATGCTTTGTGTACACACACAGGGGAGCTGTGCTCTTGGGAAAAGGCACCTGAGGCTGAGGCACTGTCCCTGAGCCACACACCAGCAGCATGGTGCTCTGCCTGCCGTGCCAGCTGTACCTTCTCACTGACCTCCTACAGTGCTGGAGAAGGTTCCCGAAACCTGCCCTTCTCATCCCTGCCTCCCCGTGGGCAGCTCCCTCTCCTAACTTGCCCTTCTGGTCCCTCAGCCCCTCAGGTTTCAGACCTCCAGCAGTTCTATGGTTCTTCCCTGTCCTTCAGCCCTGGGCTGTCACCAAGCCCACACCCTTTTCCTTTAAAAAGTTCTCTCCTAGCTAACCCTTATACTCTCCACCCTCTCCACTGCCCTAATTCTTCCTTCTCCACTTCACTGCTTTACCAGAATAGCCTCCTAACTGGCCTCTCACCCAAAATTGCCTTTTCTTTACCCATTCTTCCAGAATTGTCTTCATACCACATTCAATTCAACATGGTAGTTTTCCCCTTAAAAGCATTCAGTGTTTCCTTACTGCCCACAGGATCAAATTTGCAAAAAGCTACTTACCTTGGGGGTGGGGGACACGTACAGTACCTGACAATCCCAGAGTCCTCCACTCCTGGCCTGCCCTACCCTTGCAGTCTTCCTTCCCTCAGTCCTGCTGAATGGACCAAGGTGGTGTGCTGTGCCCTCAGCCCTTTGCCCCACAGTGCCCACATTCAAGCTGCCCATCCCACCTCTTCTACGTATCAACTTGCCCTGCGAGCTGCTTCTCCAAGCCAGCCCACAATACCTCACATCTGTGAGCCCTTACAGCACTCACTGCCTAAGCAGTTCAGTTGCTATTAAATGGAATGTGAGGGTTTTTTTTTTAATGTCTTGTTACATATTACAGAAAAAAACTTCTTGAAAGAAGCTACATAGTCTCTCTTAAAATTCCCATGGAAGGGCCAGCCTAGTGGCTCAGTTGGTTAAGAGTTAGCTTAAGAGCATGAGCTGCTTCAATTTCCACATGGGCCAGTGAACTGAGCCCAAGCTGAGCTGCCAACAGGTAGCAGGATGATTCAGCTAGTGTAACAAGACTGCCTGTTCGATGGTGGGCTACGCCCACCCGCAACTAAGACTAAACTTGGCACCTTGAGCTGAGCTGCCACCCGGATGGCTCAGTGGATAGAGCGCGCGCTCTTAACAACAAGGCTGCTGGTTCGACTCCAGCATGGGATGGTGGCTACGCCCACGCACAACTAAGATTGAACACAGCACCTTGAGCTTAGAGGCCACAAGCTGCCAACGGGCAGCCAGATGGCAACTGGCACCCTCCACAACAAAGATTGAAGAACAACAACTTGGCTGGTCCCCTTCCCTAATTCCCCAACACTGTTCCCCTTCCCCAATTCCCCAATTAAAAAAAAAAATTCCCATGGAAGAGACTAAATAACCTAGCTTAAGTCAGGTGCCCATCCTCAGACCATCAACATTCCCCAGGGGACAGCGTCCCATTTTAGGAATATGGCAGTTTCCACTGCAACCAGTTGGGATGTTGGGAGGGAGGGAGAGAGGGAATTCCTGGAAGTGGGGTAATGAAGAGAAAAGAGTTGTCCACTGTATTCCACCCTTTTGTGCCTGAAGACATGCAAACACTATTTCCTGTACATCAAAATTTCTCTCTTCTAATGTGGCTCAGTCATCACATGTGAAAAGGAAGTGCATTTGTCTGCCTTCCCCATGGAGATAACTAAATGTCAGGACCAGGCACTGTCCAGAGCAATGGCATGGAGCCTCTGTTACCAGGTCAAGATCATTTTATGTATATATCCAGTCCTTGTTCTCTTTGGTTCCAAAGAGTTTCAGATATAGCTCTTCAATTCTGCATCTCAGAGCTTAAATGGTTAGCTTTAGTACCCTGGTACTCCCAAAGTACTCTTTTTCCTAAATTCCCTTTAGAAAAGAAGTTGGGGAAATACTATGCATTTGCCAATAATCTAAAGTGTGGAGCACACCGTAAGTGCTAAGACTAGGTAATTTAATGAGTGCGTTTGTTTACTGAGCTTTTGGCGGTGAGCTCCTTGGTCAGGCCACCTGGCTGCCTGCTTGCTGGAAGAGTGTCTGGGTGGGAGGGTGGGCTGTGTCACTTTAGAAGCCTGTTCCTCTCAGTGCTGGAACCAGTAGAATTTAAACTCCATCAAAGCAAGGACCTTGGTTTTGTTCTCAGCGATATCCTTGCCACCCAGAACTGCCACTGGCACAAGTAGGCACCCTAAATATATCTGTAGAGTGACTCACACTCAGGCTCGTGGATTGCCTTAAGGGATTGAGCAACAAGTTGGGGATTTTTGTGATAATATGACTCCTTTAAAACCTGGGCTTGCAGACTGTCAGTTTCCTCTTTGTTGACTCTTTACTAATATATTTACTTGTTCCAGAAATTTTTTTAAGTCATAGTCTTTGAATACCAAATCTGCTCAAGGGAACTGCCACGCCTGGGACTTACACTGGCTTGGCAGTCTCGGACTGGTGAGGCTGGTGCTCACACACGTCTGTCTGGTGGAGGTGCTAGGGAGTGGCTGGGGATTGAGGTGTCCTTAATTTCTCTGGCTTCTCTTCAATATCCCTATTCCAATAGCCAGAGAACCACAATTTATAAAATAGAATTTAGTTGTAGAAATAGCAGGGACTATGGCTGCCAATTCTCAATTATTTGACTCTCTGGGGCCGGCCAAGTGGCTCATTTGGTTAAGAGCTTGCTTAGGAGTGCAAGCTCTGAGCAACAGGGTCGCCAGTTCGATTCCCACATGGGCCAGTGAGCTGCACCCAAGCTGAGCTGCCGCTGAGCTGCCAACAGGTGGCAGGATGGCTTATCTGGTGAGAGCATGTGCTCCTAACAACAAGACTGCCTGTTCAATTGGTGGGCTATGTCCGCCCGCAAAAAACAAACAAACAAAAAAACCTATTATTATGTGACTCTCTGGCTTCAGACAGAAAGGGTTTACTACATGTCCTGTTGTTTCCTGTCTTTTTTTTTTTTTCTATTCTGCCATCTTGGACCTTCTCCCCCTATCAATTTTTAAGACGGCTACGTGGAATTATAGTGTGTCTTTCTCTCATAACAACACACTTCAATTTCCTGAGGTAGTATCAGAAACCAATTCTAGCAAGTTAAGCAGCCATGACCTAATTCATTGACAGGACAGAATCCAAGGACAGGAGTGCATGTGGCAGTCAGGAATGAGCTAGAAGCAGAGATTTAAGTGTTGGGAATATTTCCATCTTCTGTTTCTCCTGCAGATATGCTTGCTTCCCTTTTCTGTTTCTTTCTCTACAGGCCAGCTTCCTGTTTCTCCAACAGATCCAACTTTTACTTGTTTTAAGAACAGACACCATGTTACAAGCCCATTCTTCAAGTTCTCACCAAAAACTTTGGTGTCCTCTTAACTCCTCATTTTTTCCCAGGAAATCCTGTTGGTCTTCTTCCCTTCAACATACACCCATAATTAAATGATTTCTCAGCACCACCCCCACCAAAACCCCGACAACCATCACCTCTTGTCTAAATTACTGGAATAATGTAATTGGTCTTTTTGCTTTTATCTTTGACCCTCTGCTGTCTATTCTCAACACAGCAGCCGAATGAATGGTCCTGTCCAGAACATGTCATTTCTATGCTAAAACATTTCCCATTGTTTCTGCTTTTATTCAGAATAAAAGCCAAAGACCGTATGAGGCCTTAGCTGGTCAAGCCTCCACCCCGTTATCTCTGTGACTTGGTCTGCACTGCTCACCCTGTGTTCACTCTTCACCTTGCCATTCCTCCAGTTCACTAGTCTCTCTGCTCTCGGACCTTTGCTCTACCTGGAATGCTCTCCCCCAGACACTTCCTTTGGAACCTCAAGTCACCTCAGTGAATCCCTCCTCCATCAAGCCACCATCACTCCCACCGCACTGACATTTCTGATCTTCCTTCCCTTCTGAATTTTTTTCTCCAGAGTATTTATCACTATCTGGTGTCCTTAGGATTTACTTATTCCCTGAGAATTGCAGTGTTAGTCTTTTGTTCACCACCATATCCCCAGAGCTAGAATAGTCAGTGTCTGGCACTCAATAAACTTTTTCTGACTGGAACAATATATGCTGGGGAAGATTGATCTCTCTTGCCTTCCCCCAAACAAAATACATGCAGACAGCAGAGAATTGCTGAGGAGCAAGGCCACAGAGGGAGGGACGCTGAAGCAGCCTGAAGGGACCTGGAGAGAAGATACTCCCAGCGCTCATGCCAGCCTCCAGGGAGCACCAGAGCTCTTCCTGGCCCTGCCCAGCCCGTTACACCAGGTTCCTCCTCAGAAGCTGCAATAACTGGTTTCTGTGGCTTCCACTTCCCGACACTATCCTGGTGCTTTCTTATGCATCAATTACAAATAAGTCCAGAGGTTTAATGCAGCCCAGTCTTCCAACAGGATCATACGAAGTTCAAAAAATCACATTTTAAGAGCCAGAAAGTAACTTCAGAACAGCTCAGATGTTCTGCTGTACTTCTTGCACACTCTGGGCGGGATTCTGAGTTCATAGCAGCTCTCCTAGAAACCCTCCTTTAGATCCCATCAGTTTCCCTCACCACTGCTCCTGGGCCTCCCCCCAAAACGCCCTGAACGAACACCCCTCCCTGAGCCTGGGTGTTATTCTCTCATCCTCTTTCTTCTGATCTCAATTCCCAAAATCCAAAAGGTCCAGGAAGGGAAGGTTCCCGATCACTTTGGTGGTGGTAATACATGAACATTCTGTCCCATCACAGATGTGCCTCTCACACCATGAGGTGATTTTTTTGACCACTTAATAGAGGAGACTGCACCTCAGGAGGTTGTGACTTGCCAGGAAGGTGGCTGGGGCCCCTCTCCACAGACACCACACTCGAACCACTCTGCTACGGTGGACCAGAGTCAAGGATAGGACACCATCCTTCCGTGTCAGCCAGCCTTCTAACAGCCTCGTGTCCTAGGACACACCAGTGTCCTCGGCCCTCGGCAGAATGTCCAAGCAGGATTTGAGGTAAACTCTGGCTGAGACAGGCCTTGTCGCGGGCTGGGTGTAGGGCAAGAGCTGCTATGTAATAATACATCACTCAGCTTCTCTGCCAGAGTCCTGGAGTTTAAGCTGAGTCCTGGGCAGCAGCAAGAAGGACCCATTTTGGGCCGGCCGAGTGGCTCAGTTGGTTAAGAGCTCGCTCAAGAGTTTGAGCTCTGAGCAACAGCGGTTCGAGTCCAGCCCGAGCTGAGCAGCCGCTGAGCTGCCAATAGGTAGCAGGATGGCTCAGCTAAAAAAAAAAAAAAAAAAGAAGGACCCATTTTTCTGTATACAAACAGAATTATTTATTTATGCGTACATACATACATGTATAGTTGATATATAATTTGTAATTGTTCAGACTGCTTCTCCTCAGATTGCGCAATTTAAGTCTATTATCTACTCTTACCACTTGCACATAATCTCCCCCCAGATATTTTGCTCAGTCTGCCTCTGGCTGGAAAGATAAGAAAATGTTATTAGGCTCCAAGGAGACTGAGAAAGCTTTATTTTCTATTTTCAGTCTTTGAAAACTTCTCCAGAATAAGGGGGCCCACATTATGTAAAGTGAGACTGCTTTTGGCTAGAATCAGATAATCTCAATGATTTAACTCTGATTATCTCATGCTGACTAGAAATGCTCATTGTCAGAAATGTGTGCTCTCTTATTATTAATAATAGCTATCATTTACCAAGTGCATTAACTTATTTAATTTTACAGAGGGTCAGAGAAGTGAGGCAACTTGCTTAATGAACAACATAGCTGGGATTCAAAATCAGTTCTGACTGACCTTAAGTCCGAAATAAAATTTCAGTTTGTTTGAAAACTTGTCCACACATGGCTCCTAGGGTGGGGACGAGCCAGAGAACAGGCCTGCGATTGAAGCTCTGAAGGAAAGCTCTGAAGCCTAGCTCAGAACCTCCTGCACCCTGGTAGGGCCCCAGGGGCAGAGCTGGCATCCGGCCTCCTTCCCAGAGGCCCTTGCAGCGTCTTAGCTTTATGAATGTTTCCCTATGCCGCCAGCATCTCAAATGGGGAGGTCCTTGTGCCACTTGCCTTGCAGTTTTCAGGACTGTCACCAATGGGCCAACGTGCTGCCCTCAGACCTTATTCACGCAGGTCCCAGCTTATTCCAGGCCAGGCAGGGACATCCCCATGACTTACACAGTAATCAGAGTCACAGTTGGGGGCGCTGCCTGAAGGAACGGCTGGCCCCTCAGTGAGGACCCACTGCCCTCAGACCGCAGTGTGTGTGGCCTCCTCACATCAGCGCACCTTGGGGACTTGGGGGCTGTCCCTCTCAGGCAGGATGCCCACTGGCTTTTAGAAAAATTATTAGGGCAAGGTGCTTCAGCCCGGGTGAGTGCAGTGCCCCTGAAGGAAGTGGCCAGGCCCTCCTGGCTCCAGGTCCCTAACCTGTCTCTGGAACCGGACCTGGGGAGAGAGGCACACAGGTCAGCCAGAGGGGCTGCTGGGATCAGGGTAGGAGGCTGAGGAGAGGGGTCTCTGAATACCTGTGGGACTGAGGTCCCTGGAGGTGCCATGCCTACCCTTGCCCTGCTCTGTTTCCGCTCTCCTGCCCTCCTCTCCCCATTCCCGTCTAGTCCTGGCTGTGTGGGCTCTCTGCAGCCAGCCTCCCTCCTTTACTCTGGGTCTCCCTCCTTCCCATGGCCTAGTGTCACAGCAAAACTCATCAATGGAGGTGTGGCAGGGCTCGTGGGGGTGACCTGTGTGTTCCCCATCGATTTGGCCAAGACTCGACTTCAGAACCAGCATGGAAAAGATATCTACAAAGGAATGTAGGTTCTGGCGCGGGAGTTGGGGGAGAGGGTCTCCCAGAGGAGGGGTGTGAAGCCTCACTCCTTCCATAGTCTCTTAAGGGAGTGTGTAGATGAGGGTGTGGGGGAGGCGGGTGCGGGGTGGTCAACTGGGGTGAGCCAGAAGGATCAGAGCCTGGGGTGGGGAGAAGCGGGCCATGGAGCAGCCCCCTGTTCACCACTAATTTCCTTTTCTGGCCTCTGCTCCTAGGATAGATTGCCTGATGAAGACGGTGAGGGTGGAGGGCTTTCTGGGCATGTACCGAGGTAGGCTCACTACGTCCTGGGGAGGCTTGGCTTGGGCCACATGAGGGCAGAGGGTGTGGCACAGGGCATAGGACTCTGGGAGTTGGCATCCTTTCTGCCCAGGGGACTCCTGGGTGGGCCTGGGATGCCAGGTGCCCCCTGACCACACCGCTTCGCACAAGCCCCCTTGTTCCTTGGTAGAGACACAGGTAGTTATGGTGAGGTTTGCGGGGGCATCAGGGAGCCAGGCAACTCAGGACCCTGGCTGCCACCCCGCACCACCACTGCCTCACTCACTGTGTGCCGGCAGCAAGTGAGTCCCAAACTCCCTCCTCTCTCCCCTCCTGTCTCAGGGCTGTCAGGACACCCCCCACCTAGAGCAGAAGAGGGAGTGGGTCCATAGGGACAGGGAATGGAAAGCACTCTGAGCTCCCGGAAGGGATCTACTGGGTGGCTCTTCCCTGACATAGCCAGTGCTGTCCCTGGCTCCTGCAGTGACCCCAGCCAAGGTGACATAACCTAGAAAGTGGATACAAAGCTGAGATTGAGAAGGAGCTGATATACTAGTGTCCCTTAAAAATAAAGAGTAAGGGCTGGCCAAATGGTGCGTTGGTTAAGAGCTGGCTTAGGATGCCAGAGGGCCCCGGTTTGGATCCCACATGAGGGCCAGTGACACTGCCCTCTACAGCTCAGATGCTGAACAACAGCTCAACCTGGAGCTGGGCTGCCGTGAGTCGCCGGCGATGGCGTAGGCTGCAGCCCCTGCTGCAATGGGTTGCCATGGGCTACCGTATGTAGCCAGCAGCCAGCGTGAGATGCCAGCAGCCGCAGTGAGTGGCCGTCCAGAAGCCGGCGACTGATCTGCCTCACTCGGGAAGAGCGCAATGATGGTGCCAACTTGGGCCAGTGAAGCAATGTCCTCCACAACTAGACTGAAGAACAAAAGGACAGCAACTTGTGTGTTCCCCTTCCCCCAATTCCCCAGCACTGTTCCCATCCCCCAATTTCCCAATAAAAATCTTTAAAAAAAAAAAAAAAGTAAATCTGCCGCTGAGCTGCCAACAGGTGGCAGGATGGCTCAGCTAAAAAATAAAAAAAAATAGAGTAAATCTGTGACTTGCAGAGCTGCCAGTGGGCCTGGGCTAGCACAGCACAGAGTACTTGAAACCAATCTCTGAGCCCCAGGACCTTATTATCAGGGTTTAATTTGGGGAAGTGCTCACTTATCGTCAGAGATGGGCAGCAGTAGCAAAAACAGAAATAACTTCCTAATAACTGCACCAATGAGCCCATAAAGAAAACACATACATGAAAAAGAAAATTGTGGTGGGAGGAGAGTCGTAAGGAGATGAAAGAAAATGCATGTTTCAATAAAATAGGCAGAGAAACCCTCCTTGACCCAGCCCAGTCCCTGTTTACTCCCAGAAACTTTACCTGGCTAGGGCTGACAGTAGCTTGTCTACATGAAGGGCAGGCTCAGGGCATTGTGACATCTGAAGTGGCCTTAACTCCCATCTTTGTTGTTTACTTCCAGGGGCCGCAGTGAACCTCACATTGGTCACTCCAGAGAAGGCCATCAAGCTGGCAGCCAATGACTTCTTTCGGCAGCTGCTCATGGAAGATGGGTATGGTCAGGTGCGGGGTGGGGGGAAATCCTTCACTGTATGTCTACTCGGTCTTTTTTGGAAGGAGGCAGGGAGAGGATTACACTTGTGCCTCAGTTTACCTGTTTGCATGTGTATAACGATGTGCACACAAATGGCTGAAGGTTAGTGTGTGTTTGGCAGGTGGAAAGTGAGCAGGTATAATTTGGAAGTTTAGATAGATAGATGATAGATGATAGGTAATAGACAGACTGACCATGTAGAATATGTATACATATATATTCATCAACTAGATGATGAATTTTTTTCAGTTCTGAGATATTATTGACATACAACACTGTATAAGTTTAAGGTGTGCAGCATAGTAACTTGACACACATGTATTGTGAAATGATTACTACAATGTTAACATCCATCCCTCATAGAGTTACAAAAACAGTGTTTTTTCCTTGTGATGAGAACTTTTAAGATCTCTCTTAGAAGCTTTCAAGTTTACAATAGTGTTAACTGCAGCCATCGTGTTGTGTATCACATCCCCAGTACTTAGTATCTTGTAACTGGGAGTTTGTACCTTTTTTTTTTTTTTTTTTTTTTGCTCACCCTGAACTCCTGCCTCTGGCAACCACAATCTTGTACCTTTTTTTTTTTTTTTTTTAGCTGAGCCATCCTGCTACCTGTTGGCAGCTCAGCAGCAGCTCAGCTTGGGCCAGGAATTGAACCAGCAACCCTGTTGCTCAGCGCTCACACTTTTGAGCGAACTCTTAACCAACTGAACCACTCGGCCAGCCCAAGGGAGTTTGTACCTTTTGACCATCTTCAGCCAGTTCCTTTCCCCCGCCCCCTAACCACAAACCTGATCTCTTTTTCTGAGTTTGTTTCCAAGTCTTCGCTATTGTCAATAATGCTGCAATGAACATGGGGGTGCAAATATCTCTTCAACATAGTGATTTCATTTCCTTTGGATAAATAAATACCCAGGAGTGGGATTGCTGGGTCATAAGGTAATTCTATTTTTATTTTTTTGAGGAACCTCCGTACTGTTTTTCATAGTGGCTGCCAGTTGACAATCCTACCACCAGTGCATGAGGGTTCCCTTTTTCCCACATCCTCTTCAGCATTTACTTTCTGATTCTCTCTGTGCCTCCCACTGCCTTAGTGACATTGCTTAAAGAAACAGTAACCAGTTCCTGCAGTGGAAAGTTTCATTGTACTAGCCCAACTTCTATACAGGTGTTACCTCCCTTGCAGCCTGTTTTAAATTTAGTATCATATCTTTAAAGAGACTGAGCCTGAAGGCCAGATAATCATTTACTTAGCTGAGTGAGTGACAGCCAATGGGAACAAAGCTAAATACCACGCATGGAAAGTCCCAACCACCAAGGGAGAGTAAATGACCAGGGTGGGACAGCAGGTCCGGCCTGCGGCTGAAGCATCCCCACTCCTGGTCCCACAGGATGCAGCGGGACCTGAAGATGGAGATGCTGGCCGGGTGTGGAGCCGGGATGTGCCAGGTGGTGGTCACCTGTCCCATGGAGATGCTGAAGATCCAGCTGCAGGACGCTGGGCGTCTGGGTGAGGCCCATCCCAGCTCCATCCACAAGGGTCGGAGACTAAGGGCTGTAATCAGAACACATTCCCCACGTCTGCACTCATGTGCAAGACTGTGTGACCAATCATCTAGGGCAGTGGATGTCTTTATGATCATCATTCCAGATCGCAACACTTTCAGCTCCAGAACAAACAGCAGCAATGAGAGTCTTGATTTGGGAGGGACAGAGAATATACTCCCCTGATAACCTCTATCATATTGCCTTGACATTTAGGCTTGATTTCCTAAAGGTCTTAGGAAATGTTGATGACTGGCTCATGAACATGTTGCTCCATAGAAGCTTTACGAGGTGTGATCAAAAAACACAGTGAATGTTTAAATTTAAAAAATTGATTACAATAAAAGACACATTGCCATTATTCTCCCTCAAAATACTCCCCCTCACTTCGAAAACACTTATCCCATTGTCCTTGCCACTCTCTGAAACAGTTCTGGAAGTCCTCTTTTGTGTCTTTATTTCATCCTCCATCGTGACAACGCTCTGTGTCATCCATCGCTTCTGGCATATGGCAGTTTCTGTCAAATAAAAATATTACAGTGTGTCTTCATCCACCTTATTCACCGGATCTGGCACCATGTGACTTCTGGCTCTTCCCCAAAGTCAAAATGATTCAGGACATTGAGGCAGCCATGACAGCACAACTAAAGACACTCATGAAAGAGGACTTCTAGAACTGCTTCAGAAAGTGGCAAGAATGATGGGATAAGTGTGTTGGAAGCGAGGGGGAGTATTTTGAGGGGGATTAATGGCAATGTGTCTTTTACTGTAATAAATTTTTTAAAATTTAAACATTCACCATATGTTTTGATCACACCATGTATTATGCTATATTATATTATGCTATAGAAGCAGGGCTTTTGTGGGAAGGCATAAAAAGAGAGAAGAGAACTATTCCTATTTTTTTTTTGTTTTCTCTAGAAGAGAACTTTGGCCCTTTGCTAAATCCTGGTCCTCTCAAAAACATACAGTGTGTAGGTACCAACACATATAGTATGGGCAAAGTTTGGCCGTCTAGGGGAGGGAGCCAGCCCTGGTGGAGTAGGACAGATGGCTTCTCCTCAGGGCTACGCCACAAGGCCTGAATTTAGTAAGCCAACATGCCACGTGCCTAACATAGCACCTAGCAAGGTCCTCAGTAAATGTGGGTGCCCTTCCCCTGCTCAGACCAGCCTGAAGCAAATAAAACTGCAGAAAGAAGAAATTTCAGGCACTGGAAAAACCCCACTGTGTTTTGATCTGCAGAGAGTAAAAAGTCCTGTAACATTTTGCTTTCAATCTGGGTGAGGAGTTTTACTATTCCTAAAACATGTGAAAATAAGGGAAAGACAGGCTATGGGTGAATTATGTGCATCTAAAGAAGACACAAGAAAATAATGATTACTGATTAAAGCTATTTGTTTAAGGCCTATCGTAACCAGGTTACTACCGTTAAGAAAATATGTGCAGTGACCAGCTTCTTAGTATGAAATGCTGCCCTGCTGGATAGCAAACAAAACTGAGACGTGAAATACCAGCTTCCTCTCAGCAAGAACTTGTAATCTAATCTAGGCAAAGCTCTGCAAACACTAAGAATTAAGAAAATCAACATTCACACAATTTCAGTGCATTGAATCCTGCATTCATTAATAGGACTCACCCACATTTGAGATGCTTCTATTTGATATGCTCAGGAGAAAAAAAATTCCATTCTATTTATTAATGTTTACCTCATCATAGTATGAACTCTGAATTCTTCAACTAAAATGGGCTGACACCTCAGGAATTAAATTCTGTAAAACAGTGGAAGTTAGGAAGGACACGTTCACCTAGTCTTGGCATACTAGAGGAGGGAGGCTCCCTGGAAGCCTGATGAGGCGTTTTTCCAACAAAGAGAAAGAGAATCTGCGGCTTTACACGTCAGGCAGAAAGTACACAGGATTCCTGCTTCCCAAAGTGCTCACAGGATGACACTATGTAAATAGGCTCAGAGATGTTTTAAAAATGGAAGACTGATCGGAAGCAGTTTTAACAGGAAGGAGTTGGGGGTAGTGGGGCTACTGTAGCTTCCTATAGAGAGTGGCAAGGACTGGCTGGGGGAGTGGGGGAGGGGTGCATTGACGCACCAGGGACGACTCATTAGGTAATACAGAACTTAGAAAAATGTCCCTAAAGCTAAAAATTAATGTTCTAACATTAGGGCAAACCTCAGAATTCTCTTAGGGTGCCCACTTTGTCTAGTTGTCTCAGAGACAGGATTTGGGAGCCATACTCCTGTGAGTGGTCGCAGTGCCTGTTGGGGCCCATTGCGATGGGGAGTCTGTTTTTTCCCTTCAGCAGCCCATCCTCAGACTTCGGCCCCAGCACCTGCCTCCTGCAGGCCCCATGGTGTTGGCTCAGCTCCTGCCCACAAGCGCCCATCTGCCACCCTCATCGCCTGGGAGCTGCTCCGCACTCAGGGGCTGGCTGGTCTCTATAAGGGCCTGGGTGCCACTCTCCTCAGGTGAGCTTTCATCCCCAATTCGGGACCCAGAAGGGTCCCAGTGACCAGACAGGAGAGGGAAGGAGGGCCGGGGGACAGTCTCCCAGTGAGCCTGTGTACTTCCTAATACTCACTCTCTCTCTGCTTCAGATTCTGCCCAGAATCGGGCAGGGTGGCACTGGATGGGGACCTGGAAGACTAGAGTTAGGCCTCTTCTCCAGTGACCAGGCCCACACAAGTGCTAGGTGTTCTGTGACCCAAAGGCACCTATTGGGTTGTCGGAAAAGTCATGATGTATTTTTTCTGTTTTTCGTTGCAAAAATGCATCATGACTTTTCCGACAACCCAATAGAATGTCCTGTGTACAAACCGCAGACTGCCTGTAAGTCCATGAGTGCCACTTGGCCCAAATCCTCAAAATGGATTACAAGTGTCCCGGGCATGGGCTAATTTCCTATCACCTGGGCAACAGTTGAATGAACTTCACTTCCTGCCCTCTCAACACTTAGCTCATCGCGTAGCTCTTCACCAGCCACTCACTCACCCTGCTAATGCTTCCCTCAGCCTGCCCACCTGCTTTTATAGGACCAGGCACCAGGCTTGGAATCTGCACCTGGCTCCTCCTTAAGGAGCCCAGGTGCTGGGAGGGCAGAGGAATGCAGGAGGGTGGGGGAGGCCAGTGGGTCTGACCACTCATGCTGTCGATTGCCCCACGCCCCATGTTATGAGGGGGTACCAGGCAGGAACACGGAGTTGTGGGTTTGTCTCAGACCCAGACGAGGAGCCCTGCATGTCATGGGCAGGACCTTGGGCAGATGCCCCAGAGCACAGCAGACTAGCTCAGTGTTTCCTCCTCTCCTGCAGAGACATCCCCTTCTCCATCGTCTATTTCCCACTGTTTGCCAACCTTAATAATCTTGGGTTCGACGAGCTTGCCGGGAAGGCTTCCTTTGCTCACTCTTTTATGTCAGGCTGTGCTGCCGGTTCCATAGCTGCTGTCACAGTAACACCTCTGGATGGTAAGTGCATCAGACATGCAGGGGTTACAAGGGGTGACTCGCTTTACAAATTAGGCACTTTTATAGCCGTTTATAGTGGTTTTGCAGTCTCTGGATAGAGACGAAACAGCCCCAACCTGAAAACTAAGAAACCCAGAGAAAGTGGGGCCAAGGGACCGTCACTCTATTTCTTTTTTTCACTCTACTTCTTTTTCTTTTTTTCTTTTTTTTAATTGGGGAATTGGGGGGATGGGAACAGTGCTGGGGAATTGGGGAAGGGGAACAGACAAGTTGTTGTTCTTCAATCTAGTTGTGTAGGACGCTGCTTCACTGGCCCAAGTTGGCACCATCATTGCGCTCTTCCCTGGCGAGGCAGATCAGTCGCCGGCTTCTGGACGGCCGCTCANAAGTTGGCACCATCATTGCGCTCTTCCCTGGCGAGGCAGATCAGTCGCCGGCTTCTGGACGGCCGCTCACTGCAGCTGCTGGCTGCTCACGCTGGCTGCTGGCTACATACGGTAGCCCATGGCAACTCACTGCCGCAGGGACTGCAGCCTACGCTGTCGCCGGCGACTCACGGCAGCTCAGCTCCAGGTTGAGCTGTTGTTGAGCATCTTAGCTGTAGAGGGCAGTGTCACTGGCCCTCATGTGTGGGATCCGAACCGGGGCCCTCTGGCATCCCAAGCGAGTTCTTAACCATCACGCCACTCGGCCGGCCCTCACTCTACTTCTTATCACTGATAAATCCCCTCACTTCCTAGGTGCTATTTCATTAGCTCTTTGTCCCCCAGTAGAGTTGTGAGCATCAGCTATAAATGATTGCTGGTATTTTAAAATTCAAGGCTAAAGCCCAAAGCTAAACAGTATAAGAGCTTCCCCAAGCTCAAGGGTCGGCTGCAGCTCACGAGCCACATGCAGCTCTTTGGGTATGTTCCATCTCAAAAGTTTGCCGACCCCTGGATGAGCCAATCCTGTCCCTCACAACAATTTAAAATTATTCGAGAGCCATAAATATATTTTTACGTAATCACCATTATGTGAATAATATCCTTTAAAAATTTTATAAATAAAACTATGATAGTTTTATTTTCATTTTCAATTTTACTTCAGAGTCACATGTACACACCCAAAGACCTGCATGTGGCTCGCAAGCCACAGTTTGCTGACCCCTGGCAGCTCTTCCGTCTCAAAAGTTTGCTGACCCCTGCCTAGCCTTAGGGCTATAGCTGCCCCTCCAACACAGGCGCACCTCTCCGTAGCACGAGTGACCTGAAGGATCACATCAGTTTCTAATTCCTTCATTTTATACATGAGCCCAAAGAGGGCAAAATCTTCAATTACAGGTCCTCCCAGTGGCTGGCTGGGCTGGCCTCAGGATCGTTTCAAGTTTGCTGGCTCTAAAAGGAAACCTGACCACTTCAGGTTACGAATTCCAAAAGCAAGATGTTCCCTACTTATTTTAACTTGCTGTTTGTTTGTTTGTTTTTATTTATTGGGGAACAGCCATAGTCATTGGTTACACATTGCTTTCATGCTACAATGGCATAGTTGGCTCTTTTAGGGAGGGTGCAGCTCACAGTAGCCCATGCGGGGATTGAACCGGCAACCTTGGTGTTATCAGCACCATGCTCTAACCAACAGAGCTAACCAGTCACCCTTTTTTTCTAGTTTTGAAAACTCGAATCCAAACCCTTAAGAAAGGCCTGGGAGAGGACAGCTACACTGGGATCAGAGACTGTGCCAGGTGAGTCCTATAGCCCTTTCCAGATGTGGCTGGGACAGTTCTCTCTGTACTGTCCACCCACACCTGGTCTAGAGAACAACTTGATCACTGCACTTACTACATCGAGTTCTGGATTTGAAATCTTTTCCTTTCTCTCACCTGTCAACAAGGGCAGGATGTACTGGGCATCCCTACAGCATCTTTCTCCCAGAGTCTAGCAAACTGTTCCCACAGCCCAGATCCAACTGCTTAGTAACCAAAGTGTGCACATAATGGAGGACATGGCTCCCACACTCCTCCTCCACTACTGTGGACAGTGACATCTTCTCTCAAGGAAGAGATGGAACATAGCTCCTTCCCAATCTCAGGGCCCTTTTTTCTCCCCAGGAAACTCTGGATTCAGGAGGGACCATCTGCCTTCATGAAGGGAGCAGGCTGCCGCGCCCTTGTCATAGCCCCGCTCTTTGGGATTGCCCAAGGGGTTTACTTCCTTGGTATCGGAGAGCGCATCTTACAGAGTTTTGAGTAGGTCCAGCTGGAGCTCGGTCCCTTAGCTGGCTGCCATCCCTCCAGCCATTGTACCCAGGCTAGTGGGGAACAGCAGCAGGCCCGCCACACAGTATTTTGTCCTCTAACTCGTAGCGCTACCTCAGTCTCAGAAGAAACGATCTTAATCTAATAAGCTGGCTACAGCCCATCCTGCCCTCCAAAGCCAGACTACCTACTTTTCCACAAAAACAGTACATGCTTTGGTTGTATTAACTACAGGGCCTTAACAGACAGCAAAGATAGAAGGGTTGTTCTACATTTTATAGTTCTATTTCGCACTCAATCAGTATACTTGAGTCAGTTGGAGGATTTTGTTGTGTTAATTCTGAATCAAGTAACTTATGGTTAGTCCTAGCACTCATTTAGGGGAAAAAGAGGATCAGAAGTTCAAGGGGACCATGAAAGCCCTCAAACTCAGCACCTAGTCTGAAACCACGTAAATCCTTTCCAAATATGGATGGCTGGGGTAAGGTCAGCTCAGACCAAGTGGCCCGGCAGTCAGGGCAGCCACCCTGCCCCACATCCTCCTTCTGGAACACAGGCTCTTACAGAGCAATGTCCATAGGACAGTCTGAAATAGTTGGCTGGTTATCATCTCGTCTTATAATTAGTGGGAGAAACAGACAGGCTGCAATGAATAGTCTGTCATCTACTTTTTGTGTCCATTTCAGAACCAAATGACATGAGAATGAGCACAGGTACAGGTCTCTCACTGTGTAAACTGTTTCTTAGAAGGGGAAGACCACCACAGGGATGCTTTGTTTTTGTTGCAGTGGCTTTTAAGTCTTGGTTCTGTCACATCATAACCCATCGCCTTGAGGGCCTGAGTTTACTGTGACAGAGTTCCCAGGTGCCTCAATTCTTTCCCCCACAAGGCTGCTACAGACTCGAGAAACAGTATCAGAATGGGGGATCAAGTCCTGAGAAAAAAATGCCTCTCCAGGAGTTGGTATTTCCATTAGTCCCCACCTGATCTAAAACTCATGGTAATGAAAAAATAGTCAGCCTTCCTAGCCTCCTCCTCGAGAAAAAGGACTGCATTTGAGCATGGGCTCTAGACAGACCCAAATGAAAATGCCAGCCCTTCCACTTACTTAGCTACAAGACATTGGGCAGCGCATAGTCATCTGAGGAAAGAATAAATGAGGGACGGGGGGAAGAAAAGGACGTTGTAAGATGGTTTAGACCTAACACACAGCAAAAAAACCAAACCCTTTTTCGTTTTTCTGACTCTGCCAAAGCTGGTAAAACTATTTCCTCAATAAAGCTGTTGAACCCTCTAGAGGGCGGGAATACTGAACACTTGTGTGTATGGTATTTGTGAAGACCATAGGGGCTGGAAGGCACACTTCTGGGTGAGGGTCTGGTAAAAATGAGCAGGAAATGCCAGAGGACACAGGAAGGGTTAATGGTTTCCAGGACAGACAGCTGTCCTGTAGCCGATGCTGTAGGGTCTTGGAAAACGGCGTGTTTTAGAGAAGCTCAGTTAAGAGCTTCACCCCCTCAGGGCTGGCCGAGTGGCACGTTGGTTAAGAGCTGACTTGGGACGCCAGCTCTGAGCAACAGGGCCCCGGTTCAGATCCCACATTAGAGCCAGTGACACTGCACCCACTACAGCTAAGTTGGTGAACAACAACTGAACTGGAGCTGGGTTGCTGTGAGTTGCCGGTGACAGCGTAGGCTGCAGCCCTTGCTGCAGTGGGCTGCCGTAAGCTACCGTGAGTGGCTGACCAGCCAGCATCAACCAGCGTGAACTGCCGTGAGCCGCTGTGAGCAGCCAGCAACCGATTTGCCTCACCCGGGAAGAGCGCAATGATAATACCAACATGGGCCAGTGAAGCGATGTCCTCCACAACTAGGCTGAAGAACAAAAGGACAGCAACTTGTCTGTTCCCCTCCCCCAATTCCCCCAATAAAATCTTTAAAAAAAAAAAAAGAGCTTCACCCCCTCAAACCACACTTACAGTGCCTTGCATAATAAATTGCAATGGAATGCACATAAACCTTATGTTTTAATAAATACAGCATCATAGCTTAGATTTTCAATCACATTTACAGATAAGAAACACTTCTAGGCCCAAACAGGTAATAGAAGCTACTACAGCTGGAAGGACTGCGTGCCCCACATGCACTAGAAGCCTGAAGAGAGAATGAAGGGCAGAGACCATACACATCACCCTCTGGGCTAGAAGCCTAACCCACAGGCAGGCAGAAGACGGCGTGAGGTTCATGCAACCACCACCTGGTTTCTGCCCTTTGCTGCACAACAACTGAGAGTTGTTCCTTAGAGAAGCTAGAGTAGGTTTCCTGATCCCATTGTTAACAATTAGCTAATAACAATTAGGCTAAAGGCGGTAGCTACAGAAGGGTACCACTGATAAATGAAGACTATTAGAATAGCAGAAGGGAAGCTACACAGAAAATCCTTTCTCCATGCATCAGACATGTCCCCATCATAGCAGTACAGGAACTCGGCCTCAAAGGCTCAGTCCAAAAACTTCCTGTTGGCATTTGCACCAAACAAGGCTCCCCGTACTTCTGGCATCATCTGTGAAGAGAAGATTTTTAATAAATAAGCATTGTCAGTTATAACTTGGAAAGAACTACACATACTAACCACAGGTGGCAAGTCATTCACTCCACCTGGCTGAGTGCACCACATGTGTCCTCCACTTATCTTAGCCACTTAGCAGAAGCCATGGTGAGAAACTCAACTGATGCCAATGTGGGGTTAAGACCGACTGCTTAAAGGAGACAAAACCAACTAAAAACTAAGGTCCTCATTGTCTAAGTGTGAGGCGGGAAGAAGAGCCCATTACCAGTATTACCTCATCATAATAGTCTGTATCGCCTACATTCAACAAGTATTAATATTGAGTACTTACTATGTGCCAAGCAAAAAAGTTATAATGCAAGTTTGTGCTGAGGCACATGTTATGGCAACTGAAAAATCCTTAGGATTTAACCTCAAACTTCTCAGGCCATGCTGTTCAATAGGGCAGCCACATGTGGTTACCATGCATTTGAAATGTGGCTGGTGCGACTGAGGAACTGAATTTTCAATTTTACTTGATTTTAATTAATTCAAATATCCATTTGTAGCTAGTAGCTACTTTATTGGGCAACACAGCTCTATGGTTTAAGTCATAGCAGATGACACTCCACATGCAAGTGCTTTGGCTTTCAGACAAGGTAGTAGTAAATGAAAGCATCTGTCTATGTGGAAAGATTAAGGTCTAGTCCCCAGGCAGCTATGAGAATATTTTAGGGGTTTTTAACCTAAAAGTCTCTCCACTTTATTTTAATGAAAGGGGTGCTGAGTTCTGTATCTCTATGAATCCTACTCCATACGTGTAAGGGATAATGCTCCCCAGGGACTCCTCTTGACCCCTTTGTGCAAACAACCTTGACTGTACTCTAATTTATGAGGTAGAGAAGATTTGAGAGTTGGAGGGTATGAATGACAAGGTGAGGATGTGGCCACCTAGTTAGTGATCCTTTTGTTACTAAATTTGACATATGATTGAAAAAAAGAGAGAGACAAGGTAGCAGAAGACCACCAGTACTGGGAGATGTCCAGCACTTTGAAACAACTGAATTCTCCTACCTCGTCTCCTAGAGTTTATTTGTGCAACCGTGGGAATGTGTGAAGTGCCAGCAGCCCTACAGTAGTTTCTTCAAATAAGTGTGTACTTTAGTTTCCATCATTCTTGCTGGGGAAAGAACTTCAACAGCATCTCCACATGTAGTAAATATGCACATAAAATCCTAGATAAACAAAACCCTTCTTCTGACTCCAAGTCCTCCCTCATGTAAATGGTGTCGCCTCAGTAAAGGCTACTAAATGCCTAAACCCCATTCAAGAAAATGTCAAAAAATGTATAAAGAGAGCAACAAATCCCCAATATTAGTGAGTGGACATATGTTCTCTGCATCACTTCCAAGTAATAGACCAACTAACAAGAAAAATTCCCACACTCACCTGCTGGGCTATGAGATCCAGCCGGCTTTCTAGGGTATTGGAAACCTTTATTTTACGATCCCCATTATAGATTTCAACTCCACCAGCTCTGCAAAGAACAGAGGAAATAACAATTTTTATAGATCTGAGGCAATTCCTTTATTCCCTTGGAGGAAAGCCATTTTGGTGTGTGGAGTGTCTAAAAACTACTACAAGGGACCAATAAACATAAGCAGTAAGCTTGAAATTAATTCAGAAGCTTCTTAGGATTTAAGGTATGGAGGATGATAACTGTCATTTACCACGTGACTGCTATGTGCAACGTGATTTTCTGTTACAGCACCTAATTTAATTCTGTCAGTTACCCCAACAAAATGAGAAGGGGGAAGATTTAGTCCCAGTTTGCAAATCAATAGATAAGATAAAGTCCTCAGCTGAATGCTTCTTCATGGCCCAATCCTGCTAATTACCAGGGATACCAATAAGGCAAAGTTGTGTATCAGAAAAGGTACAACTCCAGCCTGGAGCCAGGTTCCTGCTCAGAAGCCCGGCCTCTAGCCATGCCTCACTGCCATCCTTCCTGTCCTGTTTCTCTGCATTCAGAGGCATAAAGCAAGCAGGCCAAATTCTATTCCATGGAGCCTTGGGGAATGGAATTCTGCTGCTATTGTATATCGTAATTTCACTTTATCAAATATCTCTTGAAATAAGCAGGCTGAGACAAGGACTGGGAACAGGTCTGCGAGTTTTCTTTGGAAAACCTGTACTGGATGTGGCCTTGACGCTACTCCTCACGCCCTCCTCCCTCCCCGTCGTCGCTGCGTCTCGTCCATCTGTGGTTTCCCCAAACAGAAGCTCCGGCTCCTAAAGGCACGGGTAGTCCTTGGCTGAAATCCTGACCCCACTGTCTGGAACACAGTTCTTTGTCTCTGCTGGGGAGTAAGGGAGGAAAGGCCTCCACTAAATGAGAAGAGAACATGTCCCGCATGCTAGGCACTTGCTGAACACAAAACCCAGGGCTTCCCAGTACTCCTGCCTTCCCGGTAACCCCCACAGGAATCTCGGTATCCTCACCATTTTACAAACAAGACAGGCTTAACGAGGCTGAATAAAACGACGCATTTATTGAATAAAATGACATTTAAAATTCCACTTTAAATAAGTCCACAGTCCCTCATCTGAAATCCTGAAATTCAAAAAGCTCTGAAAACAAAAGAATTTAATTCATGTGACATCAAAGTCTGCACAGACCTCCAGTCATCGGGCAGGACACAAGTAATAAGCTTACACTTCCATATTTATCTCTCAGAGTGACTATCCCTATGTTTCCATTCAGGAATATTAGTGCATTTGATTATGGGGATGACACCTCAAACCCTGCTGGGGGTATCATGTAATGGTGGTAAATGTACTTTAACTTTTCTAAACGCTGAAATTGAAATCATCTGGCCCCACACGTTTCAGATCAATGGTCTTGACTGAAGCCTATTATAATATTTACCAGAACCTGAACCAAGGTTTTTCTACCCTGTCTGCTTCATCTTCACAACAGTGATTACTGGACAGGAGCGTAACTGGGTACTGAGCCACGCATAAGTACCACATACCGTGTTAAGTGCTGTGTTAGACATTATCTCATTTAGGCTTCCAAGAGTTCCAATAATAATAACACCTATTATTGTTGTTATTATTGGGATAATAATAGGTGTTATTATCCCAATTTACAGATGAGGAAATCAAGGCTCAGTGAGACTAAATAACTAGTCTGAGACTACCTAGCTAGTACAGGGCAGAGAGGAGAATCAGACCTAAATCTAATAGTTATGCTCAAGCATTTGTCACTCGCTTACAAACCTTCTCAGTTTATAAAGCATTTCCACCTGTATACTATTCTCATCTCTCTTCCCCACTTTATGAAACAAAAATCAAAATCTCCAATCTCATTTTATTATACAAATGATGGATTTAGGCAGCAGGTCTGAGAGCTCCAAGTCTGGTGCTTTCAGCTCAGTTCCTGTGTCCCAGGGACTCTGCAGTGTCGGTGGTCATGGTGTGCCTGGACAGACAGGTGCGGTAGAGAGCTGACCCAGCCTCTACCCTTGTCAGGAGTCCCTACTGCATAAGGTTACTAGGGATGCTGAAGAAATGTTGTCATTTCCTCAGTCAGCAAAAGTGCCGCTATTTGCAGTTCTGTATCCAAGGAACCTAGCTCTCAGTTACACGTGACCACGTGTCTGATAACTACTTAAGGCAGACATTATATTCCTCAGCATGTGATATGGAGATGTGGACTCAGCTGTGAGGCCGGGTGCAGGCTCAGTGCTGCTCCTCTGCAGGCT